TCCAGCCCAGCCTTAGCAACTTAGCAAGGCCCTAAGCAACTTAGCAAGACCCTATTCAAGTAAAAGTAGTTTCCAAGTGAAAACTGGAGAAAGGCTGCTTTGGTCCACAACCTTGTTGAAACAGGAAAAAGGATTACCTGAGTAGTTTAATTTTTTAATACTGAAAGGACAGAGCTTGGGGAAATTGAATTACAAATTTTCAAATAGGTTTTTACTTATAGATTTTTATTATAATTTTAATCAAACTCTTTTCCTTAAAAAAATGCATGGATTCTGTGGAATAATCATCTTGAAAGTTCTTTGTGAAATCCTTTGGCCAGATTTTTCTGGTAACATACAGATCAGTGCACCTTAGCAAAGTAGTATCTCCAGAAGAACTGACTTAGAGAGAGAGTTGTATCAGGTTCTCAGTACAATTCCTAGAAAAATGGGTGAAGGAGTCAACAATGACTAAAAGATAAAAGAAAAATAATTGTCGTTGCTTTCAAATGATAGAACAGAGGACATTTTTTGTTTGAATTTTTAATATTTATTTATTTAGGTTTTTGGCGGACACAACATCTTTGTTTGTGGTGCTGAGGATCGAACCCGGGCCACATGCATGCCAGGCGAGCACGCTACCACTTGAGCCACATCCCCCAGCCCTGTGGCTGTGTATCTTATAGATGGAAAAAAAAATCCAAATGCTGGGGGCAAATACAGAGAAACATTGATTTTTTTTTAATTTATTTATTTATTTTTTTTGTATTGTTGGTTGTTCAAAACATTACATAGTTCTTGATATATCATATTTCACACTTTGATTCAAGTGGGTTATGAACTCCCATTTTTACCCCATATACAGATTGCAGAATCACATCAGTTACACATCCATTGATTTACATATTGCCATACTAGTGTCTGTTGTGTTCTGCTGCCTTTCCTATCCTCTACAATCCCCCCTCCCCTCCCCTCCCATTAAATGACTTTTTGAGGAATTATTTATAAAAGTAAAAATGTTTACAATCAAACAAAAAACACATGAATTATGAATCAGTATATTTTACTTCTCTAATATGTCTATTGATGGAAGAAACAGAATGAAAGGAAACAGGAGCTTGATGACAGGCTTTTTTCCAAAGTTGTGGATAGGTTATTTTTCCTTTATACTTTTATCAATTGTATGGATTTCCCAAAAATAATACAACAACTTTTATAATTGGATTATTAACAAGGCAATTTTCTCTTCTTTTTAAATAATAATGAAAATATAACTTGAAAACATCATAGAGGATTATTCGGTGCCAGGTATATATATATGTGTGTATCTATACTTTATCTTTATTATTCTTATCTGATAATGGAGCCGTTCTTCAGCCTCTGCAAGTATTCAAATAATTGGAGGCACAAGGACAAAAGGCTATCTGTGGGGCAGAGTGCCTGGCTTTCTTTTTCCTTTGTCTTTTGCCATTCTCTCCCAGCCCCTCTGGGTATTCTAGTAGCAATGACAGAAATGGCTGGACTGCAGCCTAAACTCTGAAGGATGGTGATTTTCCTTCTGACCACAGAATTTGTGGTGCCCAGAGAGAATAGGGAGAGAGTTGTATCAGGTTCTCAGTACGATTCCTAGAAAACTGGGTGAAGGAGTCAACAATGACCAAAAGGTAAAAGAAAAATAATTGTCGCTGCTTTCAAGTGATAGAACAGAGGACAGGTGGCTTTTTTTCTCTGTCCTGTAACTGCTTGGCCCTGGGGACCAACACTATTGAGGGAAAGGCACAGATCAACAATGTATGAGCCATACCTATTAGGTCACAGGGTGGGATGGAGGACCACTGTGGAGTGGAAAGTTTGGTAGAAAATGTGTAGGGGAGGAAAATAAGTAAGAAATCTCAGGCAATGTGGAACAGAAGCAGGAGTGTACCACTGCTCAGGTTCTGAAGTGGCCACTGGGTGTCACATATACAGGAAAGACCTGAATAACACTGCACGGGCTTGAAAAGGGAACAGATTGGAACTGCCCAACAGAAGCAGTAAGAACCTTCAACCCCTTGTTGGGTCAGCATTCTGCTACAACAACAACAATAACAATAAAAAATCAATATTCAGCATAGCATTCAGACCATGTCTACAGCTCTATAACATAGGGATTTAAAATATTCAAGACACAATCCAAAATTACTCAGCAGAAGGAGAACCAGAAAAATCTCAATATCTTGCTATGGAAAAGCTACCCATAGGCACCAATTTGAAGGGATACAGCTTTTGGAATATCAGACTTATTTAAAGCAGCTATCAGGGCCAAAGGAACATGACACAGGTTTATCTTGTATAATTGTGCCCCAGTCCTGGACTCAGCCAGATCTCAAATCAGCTGTAGTGCTTTAAATGAGAAATAACTTTTAGAGACCTCAATAGTGATATAGAAGCACTCATTAAAATATCTGGATATTTATTGCTTTGTACGTTTTTTTTTCCTAATGGATACCTATTTATCAGTAAGCATTTCCTAGATAAAACTGATCTAAATTATAAATAATAACATTTGTACTAAAGTTTTCAAATTGTGCATTTGCATTTTTGCTTACATTGAAATCTTTATTTGTAATTGTATCAATCTAAGGGAAAACAAAAATAAATATTAACGACATTATAATTACACTAAAAATACTCGGCACAGAGGATGTAATTTAAAATTCTTTCCTCTTTATTTTTTTTCTATCTGTTTTCTTCTGGTCTTGATTTCTCTCACCTTAGGGTAATAGAATAAAATACTTTTTAAATAATTCTATTCTGTATGTTGATGTCACTTTTGATACGAAGTTACCTTAATTTCTTTCATGTTATATTTTAAAATTTTTGGAAATGATTTTTTTTTAATTTCTGTTTGATCATTGACATAGAACTAAAGTCAAAATTATAAAATTTATTTAGACTTTTTAACTGTCCTCTTAGTGTTTTCTTCTCTTTTCCTCACCCTCTATTAACAATGTATGTTTTAGGGTTTTTGGATATTTTCACTTTCTCTTAATTATTCAAAAGAAGTCTGTCATCTTAAAATAAATCAATCTTCTGTTCACCATATGTGCAATTCATATTACTTCTATCTGAATCACTTCTATCTGATATTTATTTTTTGTTGTTCTAAAATATTCAGTTTTTATACATTTTAATCAGGTTTTTTGTTTGTTTTTTATTTTCTGGCATCTGGGTTTGATACATTATCTAAGATGCCCACATTTCATGATTATACATAAAGAAATTTATATTATTCTTTTTTAATGTTTTCAATGCTTTTCTTAATGTTTTATTTGGTGTTTGTATCATTGATTCATCTGGAATTTTGGAATAATAATTACTGTGACAGAAGTAGCAATACGAATGAGAGATACCTGTGGGTACTTCTTCTCCTGTTGTTACTCTCCTAAGTATTCTATATATGGTCTCCTTTTATCTTTACCAAAATCTGTTTGAGGGTTCAGACACCACTGAACTTTACATGAGAAACTATGAGATGACAGGTCAACTAATTTTCCCAGGTTATAGAATTTGAAGTTGTAGAGATTTTACCCCCAACTGTATGGTTGATAAAATGTTGCTTGTTGATTTGATTTACATTTTCTTATTTTTAAGGTCTAGCACCATTTTACAAGTTTATTGACTACTTAACCTTTCTTTTAAATGAATTGCTATTTTAAACTTCTTGCTCATTCTTCTTTGTAATATTCATTTTTCCTTATTTGTTTGTAAAAGGTCTTATACAGTATTTTAGAGATATCAACTCTTCATCAAAGGCATTTGAAAGACTTCCCCTCATTGATTTGTTTGTATCATTCACTTGTTGGTGAATAGAAATTTGAATGTTATACTTAATAAAATCTATCAATTCTTTCTCACAGCCTCTGCTTTTGATGAAAGGATTAGAAAAGAGCTATATCATGTGCAATTTGTATTCAGTTTATTCATCTTAAATTTAATGCTTTCTGCTTTTAGTTTTATTGCACCTAAATCTCTATTCATAAGTGGTAGGGTAGCAGTTAAACAGTATTTGTTCTCATATGGTGATCCAATCTCCAAAGGAAAATTTATTGAGCAAGCAATTATTTCCTTGCTGATCTCAATGTAAAATTTCATCATTTGTTAAAACCTTACATACATGTGGGTCTGTTTGGATTTTCCATTGTGCCCCAAGGAACTTTTTATTCTAATACAGGAACAGAATTCCTTTCTTTACTGTGGGGTTTTATATGCTGAAGGAACAAGTTCCCTTTATGACTTTCTTGTTTTAAGAATCTTTCCACTCTAATGTGATAGCATCTTTACTTTTCTCATTTTTAACTTTGTGCCTGCTATCCCAGCAAGGACCCTCCAGGCTCTGAGGCATTGCAGCCTGCTGGGACCTCCAAGGTCATCCTGCATGTGCTCTGCAGTCTTTTCCTTTTAGAGTTGCTCCTGTGGCAGCATCATGTCACTGCCCTTGTGGCCCTAGAGGCCAGAGTCTCCTACATGTCTGATTTACCAGCAACACAAAATGAATTATCCAAAGAGGCCAAAACGATGACTGACAGGCATGTTGTCCAACAATTAATTATAAATATTTAAAATATATATCCAAATAGTATTGTAACAGCACTGGAAGAAAATATACATATGTGCAGCTTAACTTCTATTACTCTTTTACCGAACTTATTTAATCATCTATCTTTTGTACATTGAAATCAAGTAGACATCACTACACTTTCTGAGGGTAGAATTGCCAAATAAAATACAGAATGACTAGGATGCATGTTTGAATTTCAAACAAGAAGCAAATATGTCCCAACTATTGCATGGCATGGCACTCTATGTGATTTTTTTTTCTTTTAAATAAAGCTCACAGCCCTAACTGAAGGAACCATTTGACTTGAGTATAAAGAGAAATTTATTAAGAAATTAATTTGTACACCCCCTCCACCACACACACAAGCACATACACACACACAACCCGATTTACCATGGGGGAATATAATTTGCAGCCAATATAATTGATCCAAGTTTTTTTTAATAAAATGGACTCAAAGCTTATCAGATTTACAGTTGATGATTGTTCCCAACATCTATTTACAAATGTAAGTGAAGGTGGTTCAGGAACATGATGAAGAAGTTTCATCTCAGGACAAGACCAAGGCAGTACCATCAACCTGAAAACTGAATTTCTGGGGGATTTTCATGTTTCCACAAGGCAGACAAATTTCATCCAGGGCTCTGCTTCCCACATTTGTGTTCAACCTGCTTTAGCTCTGAGTTCTCTAGGCTCCTGGCTTCTCCTTCTCTGCAGAGGACCTGCTCTCAGTGGCCATATGGGGGCACTAAAGAAGTGGGCAGAAGCACAGAGGCAGAGGCTCCTCCCAGCACCACTCTGTGGGTAAACAGCTGGATAGTCTTCTCAGGCACTTCCTCAGTTACTTCTCCCTGCTTCTGATGCAGTCAGGAGGATCAGGTTTCAGTCACTGTTGGAGGGATCCCTTCCATTTTGAGCAGGATTTGAGTTTTGAGAGGTGTTTATTCTCTTTTTATAATCTGGTCCTTTTCTTTGTAAGCCCCAGGGAAGAAGGCATGCTGTGGGCTCTAGCCCTACTTTTAGCCACCCTGCCTCCTGGTAAGTATGTGGCACAGATGCTCATATGATGTTGTTTTCTCCAAAAAAGGCCATAACAAAGAATTCCATTACATCGTTGCTGTTAATTATTATTGTTGTTACCATTCCAGGCAGTCAAACATCTTCCAGTTTGGAAAGGAGAATGATGTCAGTCACACGTTTACCTGGGTCACTTCTGGCAATCACTTGTGACTTACAAATCACAAATAAGGACATCCACTGGTACCAATTCAAGGAGGCAAAGGCCCCACAACGCCTTCTCTACTATAATTTTTTAAGTTGCAAGGTTGTGGAGGACTCTGGAATCCCATCAGGGAAATATGTTGTTTATAAAGGTGCAGATGGGAGATGTAAATTTACAGTAAGAAATCTGGAAGAAAGTGACTCTGCTTTGTATTCCTGTGCCTATTTGACTAGCACAGTGATTTAGATTGGTCCTTGTGTACACTCAAAATTGTGCTCTCTTTCTGGTATACCACCTAGACAAATCCCCATCTCACTTCCTGCCATGAACTCACTGTACTCTGAACAAAGGGAAATCATGAGTCTGAAGCCCAACTACCATCCTCGTCAATCCCCTTAACAGCTATGCACTGCCCCCAAATGACTCCTAAGACCAAACTCCCAACTGCTATCGCTCATCCTTGGCCAAGAATCCTGGCTGACAGCATCATTCTCTCAGCTCTCCTAGGGCCTGTGGAGGCACATTCAATCTGTTGACTAGGAACACAAGGTCACTTGGGGTTGATCAGTTACAGGTGAAAATTAGACGAGAGTAGAAAGGAAGCAAAACAACTTGCCCAAGACCACACAACTTTCCTGCTGAATTTCGGAGCACTGAAAATCTGCAACAGGACCTGTGAGTGACAAATTCCAATGATAGCTCACATAGGGAGCAGGCACTTTGGGCAGAAATTACTTTCCAGTGCTTGTCCTTTTCTCAAAGCAAACAGCATACTTATGTCTCCATTACTATAGAGTTTCTAAATGAGGCCTTAGAGAGGTCTACTGCCATACCTCGCACCATGTGACCACCCTGGTTCTCCAGACCTGTTCAGACTTTAATGAGTTTCTGCCTTGATTTCCACATTTCAAAAGCTGAGAATAATACTGTTTATTTCATTAGGTTACTTTTAGGATCTAATATAACTCAGGTAACAAGTCAATCATGCCACTGCTCCAGGCCCCTGCACATCAAGGGAGTTTGAGAGTACAGGAAGCGTCCCACCACATTTCCTCTTCGGGCAAGTATGACTCCAGCAACATTTTTAAAGTTGATTTCTCAGAACTCAAACTATTCATCCCCTTTCCCTTCATCTTGCAATTAGATTTGTGTATATCCTCTCTCTAGAGCCTCTTCCTCCCTCTCCTACTTCTCTTATTAATGACATCCTTGCACAAGACAGGAATTGGCTCAGGCCCCACCTGGCCTCAACCACTCACCAAGCTGTGGCTTTTGGCAGCAGTTTGAGACCAGAGGTCACCCTGAGCTTCTGTCAGGAGCAAGAGTCATGTCAGGCCTCCTCACCCTCCTCTGGGTCCTCTTGTTTCTAGGTAAGTCTCCCACCTTCTTGCAGAGTGACATCTGCAGAGGCTTCCAGGCTTGGGGTTGCCTCTGCCTCACAGTTTTCTCCTTCAAAGCGGGGCAGCCACTCATCATGCTGGAGCAAGCGACCCAGGTCCTGGCACACAAGGAAAACTCTGTCTTTCTGCAGTGCTTGGTCCACAGCCAGGTCAGCTACCTCCTGGAGGTACCAGCAGGAGGAGGACCAGCGCCCCCAGAGACTTCTCTGGATGGCTATGTTCAGCAGGGTTGTGCAATGGGATTCAAAATCTTGAAATCAGGTAGAATCACAACTGTGAACACCAGGAATGGCAGTAGCTGTTCTCTGTTGGTGTGGAAGGTAGAAAAGGGTGATGAAGGTATGTACTACTAGGCGACCTGGAGCGGCACAGCCCTGGGGACCAATCCAGACCCCACACAAAAAGGCCTCTTCTCCTTCCTGCCAGGCCTTGGACATGTTCACTAACTTTTGGTCCCTTCGGTTTCCTTATGGCATGAAAGTAGAAAAAACCCACTCCTGGCCTTCAGCCCCCTGGCCTCTACTGGTTTCCCCTCAGTGCTCCCACCACAGATAAGGGGATGAGGCCAAAGACAGGTGAGTTCTCAGGCTGACACAGAATCTGTGTGCAATCCAGTCAAAGGGACCCTCTCAAAGGGCCTCCTCTTCAAAGGTTCTGAAACATGTGGAGGATAAGCAGTGCTGATCCATACCAGTGCCACTGGTTCCAAGTGGTTTTTGAGCACTTGAAACACTTGAAAAGGAGCTATTGAAAAGGTCCAAGCTGAGATGGACTGTAGGGCTAAAATATAAACCAAACTTTGAAGACTAAGTATAACAAAAGTGAAATAATTCAAAAACATTTATATTGATTCAATGTTATATGATTATATTTTAGACACCTTGGATTAAATAATGATAGTAGTAAAACTAATTTAGCTAGTTCTCTTTACTTTTTAATGCACTAACTAGAAAATTTTTAATTTGTGGCTCATGTTGGTGATGTTTTTATCTATGGATAATTTAAGGGTCTGACCATCTCACCCAAAGAATGCACAAATAAAATATCTGACATGAGATTTCTTGAATGAAAGACCCTCTGTATTTACCACCAAATGGTTGAAAACACTGAGAGAGGGAACTTACTCTTAATTTCCAGCTTCTAAGTTCTTGTCCCATAGACCCTTCTCACATGACATTAGTCAGTAGGAAGCTTAGGTAACAATATTGCCCAAATCCAGCACCCTCATCCATTGGAGAAATAGTGCAGGAGCTGATGTTAGGAGCTAATCCTCATGGCAGGGTGATGTGCAAAACCCTGGGGGAGTCGCTGGGTCCTTTGCCCTCCACTGCTCCTTGAGCATCGCCCAGCATGGGACATGGATGCACCCAGGCTTCTCCAGAGTCAAGTTCTTCGTGCTGTTTCCACTTTCCACAAATGGCTGCTAAACCATGTGACTACAATTTCTGTAATAAAGCCAAGTCATACAAATAAGATATTGTTGTGTCTGTCTTCATACAAACAACCAACTTCTTTAATAGAAAAATAAATGGAAAAAAAAATAAACCTGTGTTCCCAATCCTCCAGCACCTAAGAGGAAACTCCTCTGCTGATGTGTGTGAAGAAAAACAACAATGAAACAAAAAGATTTTTAAAGGTTTAGTTGAAGGTAAACACTTTTTTACATTGAAGATCCAACATTTATACAGGTATTTATGAAAATATCAATAAAATAAAAGCAGATTATGAGTAGAAGGGGCAAATGATTTCCAAGAAAAGTGATCCTTCAGGTTCTCAACTCATTGTCTCTCTCTCTCTCAACTTCTGTTTTTGTGACTAGAGATGTATAACTACCACATGCCTGATTTCTAAAAGAGCCCCATGATCCTTCCTGCACACAAAGTCCTAAGTCAAAGCTAAGTCCTCCCAGCACTTATCAGAAGGATGGAAGGAGAGGTGCTGAAACTTACTTTTTGTTGTTGTTTTGTTTTCAGATTGCTCCTTCATTTCTTATTCCTCAATGTGCTAATAATGCCAGATGGGTACAGAAAAGAGAGGCCTTGTGCACTTCCTGCACCTCTTTCAAGCTTGGCTCCAGATAGGAGTGAATTCTGTGAATTGCTGATGACTGGGTGTGGCCAAAGGAGGCACAAGTTCCTAAAGGAGCTCTCTACAGAACAACATACTTCCTTTTGCCCAAGACACCATTGTCACTTTCTTTGTGGGAGCCTTGCTTTTGGCCTGTCTCTTCATGAGAGATTAGTGTGACAAGAGCAGGACTAGTATATTTCTAATGCTCAACTGGGCATATTCAGTGAAGGCAACATGACAGATTCTGACAGAAACAACTCTCAGGGTTTGCTCTCAAAACCTTTCTTCCCAATTTTGGCCTAACAGTAGTTAAGGCACTGATGCAAACCCTCTACCTGAGCTAACTTATTTATGCTTCACAAATGTCCAATAAGGTGGGTCCTGATTTTATTCTTACCAGATAGATGAGAAAAGGCAAATGTTACATGCTTTGTAGTCAGAAAAAAAAAAAACACTCTCAAATCTGTCAATGACAAGTTGTGATAAGTTGAGTCTCACTTTCTTCCAACTGGGATTCATGGAGATTACACTATTTTACATAGTTCAACATGAGAAAGGATACAGAGTGCTTGGGACATGTCATCACTTGGTATCTGGGTTTTTTGTTTGTTTGTTTGTTTTACAGGTTATATTTTAAATGATGATCTTTCACTGCATGAAAAGAAATACTTCAATGACCACTATTCCACTCATTCCTTCACTTTTTATTCCATTCCACAAATAACTGGAAGTAAAACTAAATAAAGGATAGTCTCATTCCCCTCCTAATGGTTCCCAAATGAGTCTAATAAGAGATAACAATAACCATACAGCCCAAATATTGGAAAGAAACCTTTTGAGAGACAGAAACACTAAAGGCACCACTAGAAAGCAATTGGAGGTACATTCACCCCAGACTACCTGGTGAGAAGATTCCTGGAGGAGACAGTGCCTGAGCTGAGTCCAGAGATGAACAGGAGTTCACCAAGAAAAGTGGGATATACAGCAGCACATCTGTGGATTGAAGTAGTATTCACAGGTGTGATATATTCTGAGAAGCACAGATGTGGATCTTGGGCATCTAAGGAGAGAATACCTGAAGACAGAAAAGAAGGGAGGAGATACCATCTCATAGGACTCATGTTCTAGCAGCTCTGGACTTGATACTCAGAAGCAGAATAGAGCAGAATGAAGAATTCTAAGCAGAAAATGAACTAGATAAGATCAGTACCCAGGTGGTGGGTAAGAGGGTGGTAGGATCCAGTGTTTGCAAAATGTGAAAGACAGAATGGAGACAGGTGTGAGCCAAGCCTGTTTAAGAGGTAGAATCCACAAAAAACTGAACTGTGAAAAATTAGAGGAGAGAGTTGGAGAGTTGGGGCTGACTGACATGCATAGTCTGGCTTGTGCAAAGTGAGTAGCAGTGATGTTCCCTTATACAGTAGGAAAAGATGAGTGGCCAAGAGGAATGATGAATCTACTCTGGCTCTGTACATTTGTAGTTTCCTGATGTCTTATGTGAGCCAAACTTGAAGTTATCTGGTGGTCAGTTGGACAAGTGCATATGGAGCTCTGGTGGTAGGAGGGGTAAAGATGGGTGTGTGATATTCCCCTATCCCTTCTTTTCTCCCCTCTAAGATAATTAAAGATAAGTAATGTTGGGGGTCGCCCTGGCTCCAAAGACTAACTCCCCCCCCCAGAAGAGCCGTCCAATGGTGAGCCCTGCTGGTTCACATGATCCTTACCCACCAATCAGTCTAGCCCTGCTGGCTCACATGATCCTTATCCACCAATCAGAAAGCACCCCATGCCAACTGTCAAACCATTCAACCATTAAACTGTCATAACTGTCAAACCACCCCAGGCTGTTCCTCAATAAACGGGTATTTTCTCTGAGGAGCCTTGTTCATTCTTTTAAGAGTGGGGAAGTGACAACTGAGGCAGAGTAGGTAAAGTAAAAACAGAAATCTAGACAATAAATTTTAATGAGCTGATTGGGAAAGAGCAGTTTTTAAAAATACTCTAGCACAGATAAAATGTCTTGGGTTAGAGAAAGGAAAACAGACAAAAACAAAAGCAGTAATTCAGAAAGAGGGAACAGTGCTTCTTAGAGACTGGGGTTTAACACAGATGTATAGCTCTGGTAGCTGGGATAGGACAGAAAGATAAAACTTAAACAGGAGCAAGCCACCAGGAATGGTATTCAGACCCAGAAAGGTGGCTAGATTCCAAAACCTACAGGATGTGAGAGTAACTGAACAGGGGTCAGTTCACTAACCAAAGTCTCCACCTGGGTGAAGACAAGCTCTCTGTGGGCTCAATGATATGCAGCACAGCCTGACCACCCACCACTCTGGCCTGACAGCTCAGTGGGGTTATTGTATTTTTATTCTGTGAAAGGTAGTGTTTGAAAACAGAAAAGACCAAGATCATGGTGGCGACTCATCTCTGTTAGACAGCTCCCTGCATCTGTATCCCAATAAACTAGGCCCCCGTGACAAATGATGGGTGTTGAATGACACTGACTGTGTGAATAAGTGGTCTTGTAGTTCTGAGGTGGTCATCTGCTCTCCATGATCAGATGTAAGATGGTGAACCTTGTGTTCCCACCTTCAGGGTGCAAGTGCTAATAGGTGCTGAGGACCACCCTTTACCACCAGCATGCTTTTATACAGTCTCCTAGGTAAATCACTCATGTGGTGATTTTACACTGGAGTTTCAAACTTCCATATTTTCTCAAAAGGAAGTTTTACCTAAGAATGTCCAAATGCTCAGCCTCATCTTTTCAGAAATCTTTACTCTCTCCCACAGATCCTCTAGGTCACATATGTTGTCTGCCTCCTCCATATACTTTTCACTGATTTTCTTTAACTTTGTATTTTTTTTTAATTCAATGTTTTCATTCTATTTTTGCAAACTATCCCCCACCCCTTTTTCCTCCAGGGTTTGTATACAATGAAGGTGACCCAAGAAAATTCAACCTTTGGTACTAAAATGCTTTCCAAAGTAGCACAACTGGAATGTGTGGTGTCTGGAATAACCATTTCTGCCATGTCCACACACTCGCATCAGGAAAAGACCTGCTCATGCCATGCAGCTCCTGACAACTCTGTCAATCTGAAAAAAAGCACTACATTAGGCAAACTTGAGGTGGACAAGATACCTGCAACTTCTGTGTCTACCCTCACCATTCCCAATGCAGAGAAACAAGACTCAGCTCCATACTATTGTGTCTTCTGGGAGGTGCACAGTAGCAGACCATTAGAGCCATCTCAGTCAAAAGCAATCTTTGGTTCTTCATTCATTATTATGAACTGGACAATGCCAGTTTCCACTAGCAAGCCTTCATACAGTCTCCTAAGTAGTCTTTCATGTGGTGATTTTGCATGAAGATTCCAACTTCTATGTATTATCAAAGAGGAGGCTTCTACATAAGGATGTGCGAATACTCAGCTTCATCTCTTCAGGAAATTGTTTTCTCATACAGACCTTCTAGATCATGAATGTTTATTCATCTGAAGATAACCTCCCCATTCACATTTTAGATATTTAAAATGGACACAATATCTTTATTTATTTATTTTTATGTGGTGTTGAAGACTGATCCCATTGCCTCACACATGCAAGGCAGGTGCTCTACCACTGAGCCACAGATCCAGCCCCCAAAGCTCATTTCTCTCTCTCTCTCTCTCTCTCTCTCTCTCTCTCTCTCTCTCTCTCTCCCCCTCTCCTTCTCTCTCTCTCTCTCCCTCTCTTTGTGGTGCTGGGGATTGAACACAGAGCATTGTGCATAAGAAGCAAACACTCTACCCCCTGAGCTATGTTCCTAGCCTTTTATACACTTTTTTGTAACTTTGTGCTGATCAACTTGCATTACCTTAAGTTTCTCTGATCTACTTATCTCCATTGATTAGAAGATGGATATTAAATAACATAGCATTCATTGTCCTAAAGGCTGAATTGTAAAAGGCATGGCCTAATCTTACCACAGCCAAGGGAGACTACAGTGACTAACATATTTTATGCATGCCTTGGAGTGGCGATTTTTTATGTTAAAAAAAAAACTTATCCTCACTCCTGCTGATCAGCACAAGGAAAAGTCCCTGGTACTCCTCCTGGACTCAAAGTATCATTTCCTGGATAGAAGAAGCCTGTGTATATAAAAGTATTTTGGAAATTTTAAACACCTTATCAAAGTACCACTCTACACTGTATACTATCAGAGAAATGAAAAGCTGTGCTCCATTCGTATACAATGAACCAAAATGCATTCTGCTGTCAAGTATAATTAATAAGAACATTTTTTTAAAAGTACAGAATCATGGTTTTACTTTAACAGCTTTCATTCCAATGACATCTCTACTAGCAATTCTCTTCCAATGACAGATAGATTTCTTATTTGACATTGTTTTCTATTGGCCTGGTCTACTCAATTTGAAACTTCCTGATTATCTCAGAGAGAAGGTAATGGTCACTCTTTTATTTCCAAGATGTATAGTAATGGTAAATGTGCTGGGAGAAAAGAGGATGGAATTCCTATCCACTCAGCTCCCATTGACTGCCACGTAATGTGCTACCATGTTCAGAATCTCAGAGGATCATCATAAAATCCTACAAATAAACTTGTACATAGAAGAAAGAACTGGTGCTTAGAGGTGGTTTGTGACCTACTTAAATGGAGTTTATGAGATTTTAATTCTACTCTTAGGCCACTTTGAGTACCTTTAAAGCTTATTAACTTTGTAAGAATATACTGTGGCATTTGAGGGCAAATGTTGGGTGCCCCAGACCTACTGCCTGCCCAGCAGAGACTGATCAGGACAGAATGAACAATAATCAAGAAGCCATGGCCACCTTGGGCACAAAACAGGAAGTTGTTTCTTTCTGAAAATTCTGACCCAGGACCTTTCTCCTTACTGGTGGGAAAAAGGCTAAGAAACCACATACCATCTCTATTCTTGTGAACTTGCCCTAAGAGGAAATGTCACAAGTGGAGTACATACAGAGGTGTCGAAACCCTTTAGCCTAGACATAGTTCAATGATCAAAATGTGTAACAATGATCAAAATGTGTAACAATGATCATGCTTGAGAAATATATAGTTCCTCTGTTTTTTTTTTTTCCTCCTATACAAGCTATGCCCCTCCTAGCCCTTTCTCTATTAAGGCTAAGCCATAAGATTTTAAGATCCATAGAAGATGATAGATGTGACCAGCACCCCTAGGATCTATGTTGGTTGTTAGAATGTATTTTGTGAAATGCTTGCTCAAGTGCTTTGTTCATTTTAACGTTGAAATAACTTTTGCTTATGGATTTTTAGGGTTCCTTTGTATATTCTCTCTATAGATTCTGTATTAGTTGATAGCTGATATATTTACAGCCTTAATGATATCTTTTGATAATGAGATATTTATGATTTTAATCCGGGCTGATTTACCAATTTTCTGTTTTGGTTTAATGCATTGAGTCCTGCAATATAAGAAATCCTTACCTACCCCAATCCAATATCAGAAAAAAATTTGTTTTTGATTTTGAATATAGATGTAGACTAAATCTAAAAAACATTTTGTGTGTGTGTGTGTGTGTGTGTGTGTGTGTGTATAGCTTGGATGAAGGACAAGAGTTTATTATTCTCCATGCTGGTGTTATTCCAACACCATTTTAAAAAATACCATCCTGCCCTATGTGATTGCAGAGGTGATCTTAGATGTAAATTAAGTAAACGTACAGTAATCCCCTTCCTCTTGATTTCCCTGCCTGCTGCAGCCAGGGGCGACCTCTGCAGAAGGGGCTCAGCTCAGGGGCAGGGTAAGGGGACTCGAGGTACAGTTTGTTTCATTTTCATAATTACACATAGAGGGTCACTGGCGGGGAAGAGGTGGGAGATGCCCTGGAAAACTGAGGCGCTCTGCCCTTTGGATCCTTCTGTTGGCCCCCAGGTCCCTCCAGAGTCTAGTCAGCCCTGGCCCACGTCGCACTGCGCTGGCTTCGGGTCTGCCTGGGACCCCACCTCAGTGGCCTGACCTAGGAGACCAAGGTCCCTGGGACCTCACCCGCCCAGCTGGCGCCTCACCTCAGAGGGCAGTGCTCCCTCAGAAGCTCCAGGAGGCTGTCTTTGACCTACAGGTTACCCAGGCGCGGCACTCAGAGACGCCAGCTTCCAGAGGCGGGAGGAGCTTGGTGTGGGTCCCTCCAGCCTGGGAGCGCGACGAGAGCCCTCAGAAAGGCTGGAGAGACACAGCAATGGCTGCTGGAGGGCTCCTTACTGAGAGCTGGAGCAGGCTGTGAGGGGCCCCGCCTGGCAGGAGAGCTTTATCTGCCAATCTCCTCTGCTTTGCATATTCATGAGACTGACTCCGCCTCCTGTTCCTGAAAGCCCGTATGAAATATATGTCAAGAGCTATGATTATTTATGAGGAAGCCTCGCCCCGCCCAGGAAGGCTGGGCTGGGCTAAGCTGGTGAAAAATAATGTATTGAAACAAGCTCTGTGACAAGTCAAAGTCACTGGGTGAACTCTGGCAAACCAAGTTCCCTTGCTGAGCTTCACTTTCCTTTTCTTTATGGCTTTATGTTTTACATTTTAATCCATGATCATTTTGAATTAATATTTGTATCTGGTGTGAGTTTTAGTGTGAGGTTCTTTTCCCCTCCCCTTTCCTTCCTTTCTCTCTGGCTGGGACATTCTCTTGTTCTACAATTATTTCTTGAGAAGACTGTCCTTCCTTTGCTAAGTTCACTTTCCTCTTCTTTCAAATGAAGGGGTCGGATTTATACTAGAGGAAATCACTGTTCCCTTCTAGCTTTACAAATCTTTTGAACCCACTTTTTCTGATGTGCACTTCCTTTGAGCAAAGCTATCCTTCATATCATATATATGTAAAAAAAGGTCATCTAGTTGAAATTCAGAATTCATCTGTTGGATATTGTTCAGTTGATAGATTTTCCTGTAAAAACTATGATTTTAGAAGTTTGATGAAAATGTATAGAAATTCTTAGTATTAAAAAAAAAGAAATCATTAGTCTATCAAGCATGGCTTTTTTGGACAAACTTAATAGATTGTGGGTTTTGCTTCACTTGGAATGGAGGGGGAAAGATGGTTTACTTCTCAATTAAAAAAGCAACAGCTGGTTAATCTTTGAATTGGATTCACAAACTGAAGGGGTAAAATAGTAATTGTTCCATGATTATAAAATAGAGTGAGGTAGAAGTCAAGAGGTAAGGCTGGAGTCAATTTTTTTTCCCTCAAAGGATCACAGAAATATTTATTGTCAAGAAGATCATTAATCCTCATCATAGAGAAAACATATCAAACAAGAGTGAATAATACGTTTGTGGATCCAGTATCCAAACAAATATATAAGCAAAAGACATTTTAGAGTTCTGTTCCTAAAGTCTATAGTTGTGAAATATCTTTTTAGTTTTTAGATAATGAATCAGAATAAGGTGATACAATACATGTCAGAGCTATTCTCTGAGAATGGGTGAACTCTAGAGTCATACTTCCTGGGGCTGCCAGCTTGTGAGCTTTCAAAATTAAGAGAGCTTGTACTTTAGTAGGAGATCTCCACAAAACACCTGCTCAAAGGGAGAAACAATAGTAGTAACCAAATACTAGAGGTTGAAAGGGCCTGGTTATATTGAGAAATGATTAGGGTCTTTTCCTTGGAACAAATTCATCCTAAAACACGAGAAAAAGTCTCAACCATGTTTAGACACAAGCAAGTAAGGAAGCCCTACACCTAAGGAGGTACTGATCACTGCATCATATTAGATGAAGTGAAAGAAAAAGGGAACTTTTATTTTGAGGAGTTAGTCTACAAAAACTCCTACATTGTAAATCAAACCTTTTGTGTTCTAATTCTCACTTCTGTCACTCTATGTCTGACTATCCGGGGGTCAGTCCAGGATTTTGGGGGATCTAGATTTCCTCACCTACAAAATTAGATATTTGGACTAGATGACATTTTTCCTACCTCTAAAATTGTGTGACCTTTTCCTAGACCATATATTCTTTCTTTCTATACTGCTTCTTCACTGGTTCAGCGAATATTTATGGAGCCACTATTTTGTTCCTGTACTGTGACACAATGGGTCACATCTTATATAATTTATAAGAACTGTTCAAAATAGGCAAATCCATAGAGATGAAAGGTAGATTAGTAGTTACTGGGGGCTGGTAGAAGAAGACAGTGAGAGTGATGATTAATGGGACTGGAGTGTCTTTTTGGAGTGATGCTGGGTTTGGGATATTTCCTATGAACAAAATCATAATATGTGGCCTTGGGTATGCTTCTTTTTTTTTTTTTTTTTTTTTTTTTTTTTTTGTAAAATCTGTACATGTTTATTGAATGTGTATAGCATGTAATGAACAGAGACTTGCTATTATACTCATAAATTTTTGCTGTTCTGCAATCACAGCTAAATGAAAAAGTATGTGTAAAATAGTGTTTCCCCACTTTGAGTGCCACATATATCAGTATTGAGGAGTTTTAACGGTTGAAAACTCATGTGATTAATTGTTTACCTATCTAATCCCAGAAGAATTTGATCACTTTGTACAATGCTATTTGCAGGGTACAATGTGATCAAAACTATTTCTGATGTTTTTTTTTTTTTTTTTTTTTTTTTTTTTTTTTTTTTTTTTTTAAATAGTGTTTATGAGTTTGAATTTTGCCTCCTGGAACCAAGACAACACTTGAGGTGTGATTTCTCACCTGCAGCCCTCGCCATGCCATGGTAATTATCAAGGCATTGGGTATGCTTCTTGTAGTGTAATGTTGTCCTGGTTTGTTTATGTTGTAGCATGTAGCAGTACTTCATTTATTTTTTGGCTGAGTAATATTCCATTGTATGGACATAGCCCATTTTATTTATCCATTCATGAGTTATTTGATTTGTTCCACATTGGGACTATTAGGAATAATACTGCTGTGAATATTATTGTGCAGAGTTTTGTAGATATGTTTTCTTCCCCCAATATATGCCTAGGAATGGAATCGCTGGGTCATTGCCACATGCACCCATTCTGCACTCAGGCCTGTGATCCCTTGTCATTCTGCCAGAGAAACTGTCATGTCTCCAGACACAGGTGGTTATCTCAACTTCCTTTGTTCTTGTTAAGAAGACCAGCTTAGAAGCCCCAGAAACCAATTACTTACTGTGAATGTGGGATTTATATCTGTATGGGGTCCTCACTTACCCAGCCTAGTCCTTGTGTTGAAGCTATAGTCAAGCATCAACTGCCACATCCTCAGCTCTCTGAGAAAGATTGGGTAGTGATCTGAGTTTGGATTTCATTTGCAATCCTTTAGCTATTCTGTGTGGCAGCTCCTACTTCTTCTTTCCTTAGTTTCCCAAAGCATTGCTTTCTGATTATATATATATATATATATATATATATATAATCAGGCATCATAATGTTTACTTAAAGAGCCTCTCCATTATTCAGAGAGGCAACAGGTCCTGTAGAATTCCCAGAGGAATAAAGTGCCTGGCTTCAAGATGCTGCAATGTACCTGGCACCCAAGAATGGGTCTGAGGCAACAAAGCTGAGGAGTGGACACCCTTCCTCTGCTGCTGGCTGTTTTGCATTCTACAGCAGTTTCCTTTCTTTGCATTGCTGCACATAACCCCTCCACCCCCCTGTGGTGGTACTGCTGGTCACAGTGGAGAATTTTGACTCCTATGGGATCAGTGGCCTGTCAAGTAGTTTTTATTGACAGCTTTTTGATTGCTGTGCATCTCATTGGCTTGCTTACCAACACCAACTAGATTTTGTTTCTATCATATCCAAACCAGAACACATTTGGGTATTCTGAGATTTTACAGAGCATGTAATTTTTGTTACATGAACCTAACCTAACTTGTATTCTCATATGAAGTAATGCAAATCTACTTTTGTTCTAGTGGAGCTATTTTGGTCACATATAAGCAATTTTGTTTCATTTTACGGGGTGAATTCAAGTTTTTTTTTTTTAAACTCAGTTTGAGCTTCATTTCATATCAGTGATAGCCATTTTAATTTATATGAATAAAACATTTTGGGTTTTTTTTTTTTGCAACTGTGTGTTACAAAGCTTCCCACCACTCCCTTCATTCTTAAGAGAAAGCAAATCTTCTTTGATTTATGTTTATGGCTTCTCTCCTCCTTTGAAAGCAGGGGCTAACTGGTCATTGGCACAAATTCATGTTCTAGAATCTACCTTCATAATTAGAGTCTTGGATGGGAAGAAGTGAAGACTATATGTCAGGGGCTTTAGGTCTCTGCAGAGTTGAAGGGGGCAAGGTGAAGAGGGGCCAAGGTGAGGGAGAAGTGAACCTCTGCCCCTGTTCTTCCAGAGAAGATCTGCTTAGTCCTGTTTTGTATTTTGAGATACAATATAAGATCATGTTTACACAAGGAACAAATGGTTCCACTTAACTTTAAAAAATAAAAATGGCTTAAAATACATTGCTAGAGGTCATATAGATAGGAATCAGGCTTTCTTTGCAGTTGCTGGATCTAAGCCCTTCAGCCCACCCGGGGTGGGGGGTGAATTGGCTACATGTTTACTAACTTCTGAGAATCACAATCACACACACCACACACCACAAAATAGGCAAAAACAGGCACTTCTCTCAGGGCCATGTACATTTAAAGTTTAGATGAAATATGGTAAGTGGTTTTGCTCATTTTTTAGAGTAAATGGGAAAAAATTTTGGGACAGATCAGGTTTTCTTATCTTTAAACTGGGGCAAATATCTCATAATTATCTTTGTGTCTCCTTTTTGGACCTTACCCAGAAAGTATAAAAATTATTAATATTCCCATGTAGAAGAATGACAGGGGACTCAACTTTTGTGCAGCCATGGATATCTTAAAATACATGCTTTGGATGTGTTACTCCATATAATATTAGGCGGTTACCACCAGCCCTTCCAGTAAGCAAATCTGCAGGCCAAGCTGATGACACTCTACACACAGTGAAGCATTCATTCACCAAGGATGTTTTAAGAAGATGTGATTAGGGAAGGGATACCATGGGGTGGAAGAGCAGGAACTGTAATGCCAGGCAGATGTACATGGGAGAAGAGGCTCAGAGAAAATAACAACAAAAAAGAAACCTTGGAAGCTGTCTCCTCATCAGTAAAAGAAAAATCATAATAACCATTTTGCAGTGTTGTTCTGTTAGAAATAATGTAGAGAAAAACCAGCTAAGAATCGATACATCATAGATATCACCCAGTCAGCAAATAGTGTGGTGTGGTTCACTGACCTCATGATGACTTGCTTGGCCAGTGGCATAGCCACTGCGGACTGCTGTAGCCATGTGCCATTGACAACCGTTACTTTTGTGGCAATTTTACTTCCCATCCTGCAGAAGAGCAGTGCCTTTGGGGACCTAGCCCAGGGTCTTGAACACATTGAATACTTGATGGAGGAAATTGAGTTTATCCACAAGTATTGGCTCAATGTGTCTCTTCAGAGCCAGCCTCCAGTTCCCATTGTATTGGTGAGACTTGTGCCACCATCACACTGGGGAAGGACGTTGCCTTCTTACTGGCAAATGAGACGCAAATGATTCTGATTTTTCAAAAAAACTTTACTATGTAACATCTATATGGGTTATGACCTGTGTATCAGGATCACAGGCTTGACTTTGACTCCTTTTTCTAATACCTGGCCCCTGAAGCTCTCACTTTCAGTGACAGTAGGCTTCAACCCTGAAGTAAAAGCCTATACATTGGGTCAGTTCACCCCTTGGGCCAGTGCGGAAAGGGAATAGAAGTGGACTTGCCTTTCAGGAGCCTTGAGAAAGGGGTAGGAGGCCCAGTGGGACAGCATGTGAGGAAAGTTCAGGGTGCTGAGGAGAGGGGCAGAGGGGATATCTGGAAAGACAATCGGGAAGGGCGATGGGGTCTGGAGCTCTGGCATCCCCTTAGGTGAGGGCTGCTGTGGGACCACCAGAGCAGGTTGGAGGGGAACAGGGTCTTCTGCCTCGGGGCTGCTGCCTCTGAAGGCATGACGCCTGTCTTCACGGGGGTGCGGCTCTGATGGAAGATCCGGAATTTCGAGTTGAATATCAGTATAGGCAACAGCCCGGGGAGGGTCTATTCTGATGGCCGCCGTCATGCCATATCTGCATCGTTTGTTGACCCAGTAGAGCAGTGGACTATAACTGAAGGTGGCAGCTTTCATCACCTCCACCCACTGCTGGGCACGCTGTCTCCTCCGCAGGTTCTTCCTCCAGTGGAGTAAGAGCATGCAGCCACCAGTTATCACGGTGCAGAGCCCCAACAACCCGAAGTACCATGGGACCCATGCTGAGGCAGTAAAAAAAAAAAGAAAAGAAAAGAAAAGAGGCAAGATGACTGACAGCTCTAACTTGGGACCTGAACTGTTTCTCATTGCTCTCCTGGATTTGGCTCATTCTTCCTCTCATTCCTTCCCACCCTTCTCAAAGACATGCCTAATAATTTCCTGATTCAGTCAAAGCTATATTTGCAGGGCACATAAGAGACCCCATTAGCCTTTTTCAGATAAGGAACACTAGGTGTAGAGTGGCCAGACCTGCCCAGACTCAAGACAGGCCTTCTGGCTCCCAGTCCAGGACCCATGCAGTCATTCAGACCGAGAAGCCTCACTAAGGGCAAGGACCTCAATTGTATCTTTTCTGCTTGGGCAGAACATGGTCTCTGCCTTCAAGGAGTCCTTAGTTTCCTAGAGGAGTCTGTCTCTTAACTAAATAGCATTCCATTCAGGCAGCCACCACCCCATCCATGCAAAGGGTCTTCCCTGAAAGTTTGTCGCTCACACTCAAAAGGTCTGGGTGTACTTACGGCCAGGGAGGCCCAGGTCCTCCTTTCGTGAATCCATAAAGTTCACTCTGGTTACCAGGACTATAGCTCTGCAAAGAGTGAACTCACCCACTACTCTGCCCACCAATGGGAGTCCCCAGAAGGTCCCAGTCCCATTGTTCTCTAAAGATGAGATCACCGGGTTCTGAGCCTCAGGAATTCTTGGGCTGGTGCTTGTAGAGTGGTTGGCAGTTGATGGAATAAGGGACTCCATCTTATGACATCTCATGAGCATGTTGTCTTCCATGAAAGACTGGTCCACCATAGAATTGTCTATTCCCAACTTTGTGTGGTGAACTCACAGGAAGCCCCCAGGAAAGGGTCCTTACTCCCTCAGGAGCTTCTACTTGTGTTTTCAGTTGTTAGGGAGCCATTTTCCAGTGGGGAGTGGGGCAGGGAGGACAGTGTGCATTGGACATCCCTACCCTCGAGAAGTGTCTTACTTAGTTGTCAGGGAACACAATGGCTTAGAAGAACCATGTGGTCCAAACCTCCTCCTTTGGCTTCTACCATCTCTGTTTTGTTTCTTCAACAAGTGTTTTTTGGGCACCATTAGGTCCTGTGGGATCTCCCCTGTATGTGATCTGCTTCTCTTTCCAGCTCCGTCTCCCTCCCCACCCGTCATATACCTTTCAGCCCTGGGCATGCCAGATTCCCAGAGACCCTGCTTATTCCCCTCTAAACTTTGGCTCAGACTGCTGCTTCACTCAGGAGTGTCGCTCACCACATTTCCACCACCAAACACCTCCTTATCCTCCCAGGTGGTCAGCTCCCCAACTCTGATACAAATAGTTCTTTCAGTTGATTCCCCAATTTCTAGAACTCTGAAGCAGATGAATTTGAAACAAATTGGTCCCAGGGACAGGAATCAAATTGATTTCAACAACTATAAATTTGTATAAAGTGGAAAATATAGTGTTCTACAGGTTTAATATATTATTTTTAGAAATCTGCTCTATTTGAACTGGTATAAAAGTGATGCCCTTTTAAATAATACCACTCACCTACCATGAACAGCTAAAGTTCAGATAAGTATAAATTAAACTGAAAAAATTAACCTGATGCTCTGCCACTGAGGCTTATTTTAAAATCAACATATTTTCCATCCCCTTCTCCCCATCCCTAACCTGGAACAGGATTACGTTTTGTCCCCACTCAGCTCACAACTACCAGCCCAATTAGAACAAGAGAACTGGATAAAAATTATGTTCAGAAAGTGGGGTTTTTAAATGTTATACATAAATGTATTTATTTTTATCAGTGAGCAGATACTTTACACTTCATTGGCTGCTTATTCCAAGACTTGAAAAGTGTTTTTAAACTTTGAATGACTGGTTGATTGATTCATTGGTTATAAAGATTTTCTTTGAAACCAACAATCTCATTATTTTTATTATTTGGAGCTGTTATTTATACTTTGCACCTTGAGTAAATGTGTGAATGGTGACATAGACCATTCAATCCCTTTGCCCTGTTTTTCCCTTATTATAAGATCATAAGAAGAATTATCAGAAGCCTCAAACATTGTCTGTATTTCTAGAGCCATGAAAAATTTAATAAAATGGAAAAGGAGTTAATTTTAAAATTTGTTATTACATTTATACAAAAAATGTGAGAAATCTATTAACAGCACTGAGTGAAGTTTTACCAAAGACCCACAATAAAACCTTAATAAATGGAAAGGCAAATTCAAGAAGATAAAAACTACAGTAATACTGAAGACTATACCTACTAAATTTATATGTAAATGACTACAATTCTAATCAAATTCACCATAAAATTTTATTTTTTATTCTAGGTTATGTTAAAAATAGGGCATATTATATATTCTTAAAGGATGCATAAACATGAGACTGTGACTAAAAACTAGTTGTAGACATTTAGCATGGTAGATACTAATGGTAATAGCAGAGCTACTGACATAATGTGGTAAGGATGTAAGAAGAATGAGATAGATAAATAGAGCAGAAAGACTCCAGAAAAGTCTTTAAAGTGTATATTCAAAGTATGACATAGCAATTTTAAACTGTAGAAAAACAATATATTGTTAAACTATTAGTATTAGACAATTGTCTATTGAAAAGACGAACATATATCTCTACCTCCTACCATATGAGATAGGTTCCATATATAGATAGAAATGAAAATGACAATGACAAAGTTACGTGTGTGTTCGAAGTAATTACATCCACTGGAGAGAGGAGCATGGGGTGGGAGTGGGGTAGAAGAATCTTCACTTAATGCATTGTTTTTTTTTATGAAGTAAGAATGTAAAGAATTTTAATTTTTACAGTATTCAGAAATTATTTTTTAAAAGAATGGACAAGGGAAACTTATTGATGGTTTTAGGGAAGTAAATGACATGATCAACCCTGCTTTGGCATGATAAATACAGGAGTGGAATAAAAGGGGAGTTGTGCAGAAAAAAACAGTTTGAGTGACACAGTCATGTCTTTGTTATTCCACATTTTTTTGGTTCATTATAGTTGTATATGTTGATGGGATTTGTTGTTACATATTCATAAATACACACAATATAAAAATATAATTTGGCCCATATCACACTCAAGCAATTTCCCCTTCCCTCCCTTTCTTCCATCCCTTGGTCCCTTTCCTTTACTGATCTCCCTTTGACTTTTAGGAAATCCACCATGACCTTTGTTTCTCTTTTTCCTCTCTAACTTCTGGCCTATGATAGAAAACATACGACCCTTAATTTTCTGAGTTTGACTTATTTTGCTTATCATTATTATCTTTAGTTCCATCTATCTTCCTGAAAATGCCCTAATTTCGTTTTTCCTATGGCTGAATAAAACTCCATAGTGTATATGTACAACATTTTCTTTATTCATCTATTGGACACCTAGGCTTATTCCATAGTTTGGCTATTGTGAATTATGTTTCTATGAACATGGGTATTCATGTATCACTGTAGTAAAATGACTTTAATTCTTCAGAATAAATACATAGAAGTGGTATGTCTAGGTCACATGTATGGTGGTCCCATGCCTAGTTGTTTGAGGAGTCTCTACTTCATACTGATTTGCACAGTGGTTGTACTAATTGACAGTCCCTGAACAGTGTAATAGTGTTTCTTTTTCTCCACATCCTCTCCAGCTTTTATTATTATTTATATTCTTGATGACTTCTATTCTGACTGGTATGGATGAAATCTCAGTGTATTTTTTATTTTCATTTCTCTAATTGCTAATGATGTTGATCATTTTTTTATTTATTTGTTGGTTATTTGTATTTCTGCTTTTGTGTAGCATCTGTTTAGTTAATTTGCCCATTTATTAATTGGTGTAAAGTTTTTCAAATTTTTCATATATTCTAGACATTAATACTCTGTCAGAAGAAAAGTTTGCAAAGTATTTCTCCAATTCTGTGGGTTCTCTCTTCACATTACTATTTTTTTCCTTTTCTGTGCAGAAGTTTTTAATTAGATGTCATCCATTTATTAACTCTTGGCATTATTTTCTGAGTTTTAGGGGTCCTATTAAGAAAGTCATTACCTGTTCCTAAAAGCTGGAGTGTTGACCCTATATTTTCTTCTAGGACTTGCATAGCTTCTGGTCTAATTCCAAGGTCTGTGCTTCATTTTGGGGTGATTTTTGTGCAGGATGAGAGTTAAAGGTTTAGTTTCATTCTTTGCACAGCGCTATTTATTAAAATAGAAGTGCAATAGATTAGACAAAATGGAATGAAAGGAAGGGAGAGGATAGGAATAGAAAAGGCAGTAGAATAAATGTAACATAATTTTCCTATGTACACAAATGAAAATACCTAAGTGAATGCCATTATGCCCACCCACAAGAATGAGTTCCTAATTAGAATAAATTATAGTCCGTGCTTGTATAATTTTATCTAAATGGATTCTACTGTCATGTGTAACTAACAAGAACCATATAAAAAGGGGTGCTCTGTTTTCTCCAATATATGTTTTTTGGCATTTTGTCAAGGATCAGATGAGCATAGACATGTGAGTCTGTTTCTGTGTCTTTTACTTTACATCCTTTGTCTATGCATCTATTTTTATGCCAGTACCATGCAGTTTTTGTTACTATAGCTTTGTGGTATAATTTGAAGTCAGTTGTGCCTCTAGCATGGCTTTTTTTGGATTAAAATTGCTTTGGCTATTCTTTTATTCTTCCAAATGAATTTCAGGACTGTTTTTTCTAGTACCATGAAGAACATCACTGATATTTTGATGGGGATTACATTGAATCTGTACTATGCTGTTGGTAGTATGGCAGTATTAACAATATTGTTCTTCCTATCCATGAACAGGAGATGTCTTTCCATCTGTTGAGGCCTATTTCAATTTCTCTTTTTAGTGTTCTATAGTTTTCATTACAGACATCTTTCACCACCTTTGTTAGATTCATTCCTAGGTAATGTTTTTTGAGGCTATTGTGAATAAAATTGTTGATTTTTTTCTCAATAATTTTGTTGTTGGTATATAGAAAAGTTATTAAATTTTGTATGTTGATTTTTTAAACCTGATACTTTGCTAAATTTGTTTATTAGCTCTAGCAGTCTTTTTGTGGAGTTTTTGGATCTTCTAGGTGTAGGATCATATAATCTGCAAGCAGTGATAGTTTGATTTTATTTTATTTTTATCACTTTTATTTATTTCTCTCATATAATAGCTCTAGCTAGAATTTCTAGCACCATATTAAGTAGGAATGGTGAAAGTGGGCATCCTTGTCTTGTATCATATTTTCAAGGAAACACATTCACTTTTTCCCATTTACCATGAAGTTGGCTTTGGGTTTTTTACATATAAAGTCTTTATGATGTTGAGGTAGGCTCCTTCTAGCCCTAGTTTCTTAGGTGTCTTTATCACAGATGAATGCTGAATATTATCAAAAGCTTTCTCTTTATCTATCAAGAGTACTATATTTTTTGTTCTTAATTCTGTTAATGTGGTGAATTACATTTATTGATTTGCATACATTAAACCATTCTTGCATCTCTGGATTAAAACCAACATGGCTGTGTGTGCAATCTTCTTAA